TGATTTATTGTAGAAACGAGGTCTCGCCATGTTGCCCAGTCTGGCCTCGAACCCGTGGGCTCAGGCATTTCTCTCACCTCCACCTTTCAAATTGCTGGGATTACAGGCGTGAGCCACTGCACCCGGCTGCAGTGCAGTTCTGAGAAAGTTTTGTCAGGGTCAATGGGGACTTCTCAAGCCAAAATCACCAGGTAAAAAATGCGTCTGCCTGTATCCCTGCCACACTTGGTCATTGGCTGAGATGGCCCCTGGGAAATGATGTTGGTGTCCACATTGAGGTGGATTCAGAACAAAGCACCTGTGGTCATCTCACAGGCCTGCTAGACAGGGCTGTTTTTATTTATTTATTTTTTTATTTTATTTTGAGTAGGTGTCTCACTCTGTCGCCCAGACTGGAGTGCAGTGGCACGCTCCTGGCCACCGCAGCCTTGACTGGCTGGGCTCCAGAGATCCTTCTGCCTCAGCCTTCCAAGTAGCTGAAACTACAGGCACGCGCTGCCACACCCAGCTAGTTTTTGATTTATTGTAGAGACGAGGTCTCGCCAAGTTGGCCACACGGGTCTTGAACCCGCTGGTTCAAGCAATCTACTCGCCTCGGCCTCCCAAAGTGCTGGGATGACAGGCTGAGCCACTGAGCCCGGCCTGTTTTTACAATGTTAGAAATCTACAAGAAGTTTGCATAGGAATTGGAGTATTTTAGGCCGGTAGAGGAGGTGGAGTAACATTGCAAGAAATAAAAGCCAAAACAATGTACATTGATATGTGCACCGAGCCTCTCTCAGTACCACACGTGCATGAAATCATGTAGTGCTTATAATAACAGTGTGAAGTGGAACTTCAGGCAGGACTTTTTTCAGTTGCAAATGAGAGAAACTCAACTAAATTTAACTTGAGTGGGAAAAGAATGCGTAAAATATATCTGTTCACGTAGCAACCAAGATGTCTGGGAACTAGGATCAGAGGGAGGCCAAGTAAGGTAAGACATGAGAGTTCAGAGCAGGGTTCTGCTTTCATTTTAAAAATAGACATTTTTTTCATTGTGGATTTCTTGGCATTACTTTTGATTTTTAAAAATATTATTGAAAATATTATTTTCTTGATTACGGTGTTGTTTCTGCACCCCCTTAAATTTGGCTCCTGAGATAAGTGCCTCACTCACCTCACCCTGTCTTCATCTCGACTTCAGATATAGCTGAATCCAGAGGTTCCCGGGATCACGTGGCTCAGCTCCTTTGACTCTGCTTGGATTTGTTTGGCTTTATTTTAGGTACTTGCTCTCTACATGTGGTTTTTAACACTGGCGGTCTTAAGAGAGCGGCCCTACTCTCTTCATGTGGTTATTGACCTTTGAAAAAAGAATGCTTGAATCTATCTGAAACCTAGGATGTGCTGGGAGAATTTTTGAATTATGGGTTACATTCCAATCCAGAATGACTTGGAGTTTCTGGATTAATTCTTATTTCCTTCCTCTAAGAAGCACAGTCTTTTTTAAAAAATCATGTTTATACTATTCAAAATTCTTATTGGAAGGCAGGAATACCTGTTTTTGGTTTTTTATCTGAGTCAGAGTCTCACTTTGTCACTCAAGCTGGAGTGCACTGGTATACTCGCAGCCACTGCAGCCTCGACCTGCTAGGCTCAGGTGATCCGTCTCCCTCAGCCTTCCAAGTAGTTGGAACCACAGGTACGCACCACCACACCTGGACAATTTTTTTTTTTTTTTTGAGTTGGAGTCTCACTCTGTCCCCCAGACTAAAGTGCA